GAGCGAGCGGTCGGCGTTCGTTGGGGTCGTCTTCTGTTTGCCGACAATGACTGCGGCGGGACTGTCGTTGAAGCTCCAAATAGAAAACTCAGTTTGCACTTGCTCACAATTTCTGTTTGTGACAGCCGGCGAGCAATAGCGAGGAACGGGCGCGCCAACAGTCCCAATCCACTCTCATTTCGCCAGGTGGCGAGGCTCACGACTCTGACCAACTTATTGATGTCAACCGACGGCGTGCCTCGCCGCGGTGATGAAAAGGTGCCGCAGCGACATCGCTTTCTGCTCTTCTTCCTCGTCGATGTCTTTGAGATGAAGAATTCCAGTTTTGCTCCTCAGAGGGGAGGATTTCAATCTTTGCCGAAGATTGAACTCAATTTAGACCAAAGCGAAGCTTGACGCATTTTCCGAGTCGTCGCCGAAATGTCTCCCATCGCTTTAGCTCGCTAGAGGACGGAGTCTGATTCGAACGCGTTCTCTAGAATGGATCGTTACCATCAGTTCTCCTCTCGCCGAGATCCGCCGAGGAGCGAAAATAAATAAACTCGCCGTCTAGGTCCGACTTTACGTCATGAGGAGCTCTCTCGTTTCTGGCTCCATGAATTCTCATCGGCCAAGATTCTGATGAGCAGCTGCTTCGACGGCATTGATGGTGATGGCGGCTGCGGCGGCAACAAATATAAGATTTTTGCAACCGTTGGGAAGCCCTGACGAAGCTCTTTCGAAGACGCAATCTGTCCTCATTCGCAGACTTAATAACCTTGACGGAGGAACAGGAGATAACACTGTTTACGATGGGGACACCACCGTTGAAGCCCAACGTACACGGATTCTCTTCGGCTCCGTTGGCGTCGAGTTTTAACCGAGCTTCTGCGGACCTTTAGGCTCCGATGATAGTGGCTCGTTTCGTCTCCCTAGTAGTGAGGTTTCCGCCAGCTTGAAGTCGGTTCGGCCAAGAAACCCGGCGAAAAAAGAAGCTCGATCATCAAAGAGAAGCACAAATCCTATCTGATCCGACACATCGATCGAGCGTTGTGAATGTGACAGATGGATCTGGAATGGACTTTGAGAGAACAATCTCGGATTCAAGTTCCTCGTTCAACAGATCCGTTCGAAATAAATTAAATTAAGAAAAAGTCTCACGACGACGCATGGCGCCCGGAATGGAAAGCGAGTCTGAAATTGATAAAATCATTCATCAAGGCAAACAAATGGGAGGCCCAAGCGTAAAGAGAACAAGCAAAGCAGGAAATTCATAATTGAATCTAGCCGTACATTGGGCCGGGCGTGAGCCCCGCGTCGGTCCTGCAGCAAGTCTAACGCCTGCGTGTCCCGTTCATCCATCTGTGTGTCTGTCTCTGTGTCGGTACGTCGCTCAGTCGGCGACTTTGTCCTGCCAGCACCGCGCCGTCGAACAGACTACATCGTGTCCATCGACTACATCGTTCAAGACATCAGTAGCAGATGCCGTTCTAGCGGAAGCACCATCATCTCAGGAATCGGAGGCAGCTTTCGAGAACAGCGCTCTAAGGATCGACATACGCACAGTTCCCGTGCAGTTGAAGGTGCACTTCACTCGACGCTACTACACACCTGTGCTAATGAATTATCCACGAGACTGCAGTTCGTTTTGAGTTAATATTTGATCCAAACACCATGAACGAGGAGTACCATATTTCAAACACTCCCCGGAGCATCCCCGGCGCTCTGTGGAGCGACGCTGAGGTTTTCCTCCTCAGAGAGCTTCGATTGTATGACGGTCATTCGGCAGCCCGAATCGGAATGGTATAGCCGAACACGAGTTCCGTTTCCTGAGAGTCGGGAGACTCTTCGAGACTGGCGAATTATCCCCATTGAGTCAATTCGCAGCATCCAGAGATCGTCCGCCAACCTAGCTACCGTCCGCCCACGGAGCTGGGAAGGCCATCGCTCTCGTCCAAGAAACCTTGCTGTACTTTGTTTGGGATCCGCGCCGATGGAGGGAGGATTCCGACGCGGCCACAGATGGTTCATTGCCTCCTACTAGGGGAAAATTTCCTCGAACACGCCGTAATCGATTATTAGGGGAGCTGTCTTTGGTCTGGACTGATATCAACACTCCTCAACTACGAACAAAGCATATGATACAATTCTCATCGCACCCATTCCGATAACGAATGCCTATTAGCTCCAAGCATCACGATTCATTTATAGGCTTCGGAGAGTAGCTCAATATATCATCGGCATCTCGTCCTCATCACCCACCCGTCCTGTGGAGGAAGGGCTAGCGGGTCACTTCGATTTTGATGTTGTTTCCGGTACCGACTCCTTCCGGATAGGCATTTACCTGCCTGCCCACGATGAGGAAACTCGAGACCCGTCGAGAAGTGAGGAACGTGATCGTTCGTTTTATCCTACAGAATAAGTGCTGACCATGAGAGCGCGGGCCTGGATCATTGGGACAATGTTTGAGCTGTTTCGCAACTAGGAGAGAAACGCGCCGACGACCGGCATATATGATAATGAAGTTTGAAGTTGGAAACTTCAAACATTATGCTCGAGCCGACCGTGCGCCAGGATTATTCCAGCCATGGAACGAGGAGGCTTCAGCTGAAAAGACTTTGAGAAGAAATAGTTTCGTCAGCTGGCTGATGAATTTAATTTCGAGAATCGGCTCAGGGAAGAAGTTTCATGGAGTAATTCGGAGCGTTTCGCCGAATATAAACACGTCCGCCCCCTCCGACGTGTTGGCTCACGGCTGAACTACTCTGTTCTGAATGAAGAATATAATTAGGAGCGAGTCACACCCAGACGCGGAGTCCACCTATCCGGAAAACAGATACCGGGTCGTAACAGGTTCGTTCGCTACGGCCGCACGTGTTGTGTGCTTGTCGGCGTCTATGGTGCTGATTGGTCCGACTTCCACGCTGAAATGAAATTGCAAATGTCAGAATTGTTTCGGGGATAGTCGAAGAGTCATCAGACCCGTGAACGAAGAGTCGGAAGTTCTAGTGCTCGAGTCCCAAGGACAATGTGGCGGCTGATCCGAGGCCACAAGCGGAATCGATCGAGGAAGACCAACTCTCACGCTCTCCCGGATAGCCCTGCGTTTGTCCAGTCACGCCCTAAGAAGAATTCATTTTATTACTTGCAATTCAGACGCTTTATATGGACGGAGGGGGAGCCGCTCCGTCATAAACTTTATGGCAGTAATGCGTGTACACATTAGAGCGCTGCCTTCTTGCGACCTCTGAAGTTGAAGTTCCCCACTCTCAGGGCGAGAGACATCCCGTTGGGCGCATGGATAGCTCAGACCAACGGTCCATGTCTCTGAAAACTCGGCCCATTGTGTAAACAGCTCGAGAGTCCACAAATGCCTGCGTCGGGTCTCGAGGAAATTCTTCCGAAATCATTCTTCCAGAAATCCGCCTCTGAGTGGGAGCACCGTGAATTCGAGCAGAAGAAGGACTTCACCGACCAACATCGATTAGGAGGAATGATGCCTCTTCATCCCCTCTCGATAACCCTGGAAAAGCGGTCTGCGAACCTTCAACCCCACGCTGAACGGTCGCAGCGGAGGAGATGCAGAAGGAAAATGGCCAGCGAGAGCGAGACTCATTTCGTCCTGTTGCAGCTCGCTGCTGTACTCCTTACGAGTCACTTCTTTTCGCTGAGCTCTTCCCCGGGGTCCCATCCCCTCCGCCCACATCTTTGCAGTCCGGCGGTGAACTACTGAGTACAATCTTAGGACAGCGATTTCCGAAGGGGCCATCTCCTTCTCGGTCGCGTTCCCTCGCCATGCGTTTTTTTCCAGTAGCCGCGGGATATCTTTCCGTCATGTCACTTCGCAATGAACGACTGAAGGAGCTGGCTCTACTTTTGGATTAAGTGCTCCCACGCGAGCCATTGTGGTCTGCCAGGGAGAGAGGTCCGCTGCCCCTAACGCTGAAGGATGTCTCCACGGCCATCGTCAACCCGAGGATCGTCAGCGAGGGCTAGGGGAGAAGCTTTCTCGATATCTTGAGACGACCAGATGGCCGCTCGAAACGATGACAGGGCGTCCAAATTGAACGTAGAAAGATCACACGTTCATGTAAGTGCTCGTGGGAGTGCGGACGTTCCGAATCGTCCCAGTCGCTGAACAATCATGCTTCCATCCGAGAAGCGAGTGGACGTGCTTGCCGCGACAGCTTTGCGTCCTGCAGATACATCTGCGACGAACTTAATCTTGTCTTCTGCCTGCTCCGTTCCCACCGACTTCGGCGTCGCTCAAACTCTCGATTCTCGTCCCCTGTGCTCGTTGGCAGAGGAGTCGAGAACATGGTACTCCATGCTCCTCCATGGGTATTCTAGCATCCGCAGACGGGCCACCTACATTTATTCCTCGGAAAACATCACCTGTCTCCCATCGGGCGTTCGGGTTCGGCATGCCCGAGTATCCCCTCGCACTGAGCTCATTTTCCACGGGCTCTGATCGCGAAATGCCCCTCACCGGATCCATTGAAGGCTTGAGGTCCTGAAAATGCTCATCGATTCATGAACATACGCTCGAACATGATTCTCTTCACTTTCCAAGGGAGTCTAATGATCAGAGGACGCCCTCGGACTCCAAGAATGATTTCGGATGCGGAAGTGAGCCTCGCTGTATCCTGATGCCTCGATTTTCCCCCAACTCTCAAGCAATGCTCCTCGGAAAACTATTAGGAAGTTCTGTGAGCCTCCTAGCGGGAGAAAAATCTCGTGACTCTAGCTGATTCCATCCATGAGGGTGATCAGGGACTGGATTCCCGAATTCTGCGAATCTTTGTGCGCCTTATCTGCGGGTATCAGAGTACTGCGCTTCATCCTTGTTAGGTCCTCCTCGCCCTCTATCGATTCCGGTTCCAATAAAAAGGCTGATAACTTCGTTATAGAAGTTATTCAGTAGTCCAGACAGTTGATGCCACGTCGTTACTTCCCTACCTCTAAGCACAGAACTCAATATTGGCGCAGTCGCTTCGGACTTAGTGCAGGAAGAAGACAAGATGCCGGTGGATCAACCAGAAGATCTCTCGAAGATACTCAAGACCCTGACAGGTATTCTATCAAAGTTGAGTACCAAGGAGGAGAAAAGACACTTCAACCACAGAGCCGAGCTCTGAACGTGTGTCCACGGCTCTGACGAATGCAACGGTTCTCCTCGGTACCTTCAACTATGCGCCCGATGCCGACAACACTTTTCCGGAGTGGTACAGTCGGAATCAAGGCATACTCGAAGAGTGCGTCGAGTCACCGAGTCTTCGAGCTAAGGTCCTTCTCAAGGCGCTCGGCACCGAGGAGTACACGCGGCTCCGCTGCCACGTATCTCCTGCGAAGCCCGAATCTAAAACATTCGATGAGCTGCTCGGAATCCTCAATCAACTTTTCGGTCCGACGAAGTCGCTCTTCCGACGTCGTTTCGACATACTGAACATCCGATCGCCTGCGGGAACTCATCCGGAAGAGATTCTGAATCTCTGCAATCTCAAAGGCGACGAATTCGAGGTGAACAACCTTACGGCAGATCAATTCAAGAAATTCTTGGCGTTGCTGATGGCTACGGGTCCCTCGTTCAATCATTTTCGTGCGGTGGTTCTTCGAACTCTCGACGAAAAACCCGGTATCGATCTACTCGAGCTACGGGAAAAAGTAAAGCAACACGTCAGAAGACAAGAGGATGCGACTATCGGCCTCAACTCGGTCGACGAAAACCCAGTCAGCATCAACCAGGTAACCTCACAACGGGCCGCTCGTCCTCCACCACGCGGCAGTCGTCAACAACCCAATTCCAAGTGCAAGGGTTGTGAAGGCAGTCACTTTCGCTCACAATGCCCCTTCCTAAAAAGCAAATGCAACGGCTGTGGCAAGAAAGGCCACCTCAAAAAGGTTTGCATGGCTTCAACGGGAAATAATCGAGTGAACGCGATCCGGCTATCATCTCTGACCGATAACAACGATGGTTCTCGCGCTTTCATCACGCTCGCCATCAACGGGATTCCAGTACGGCTCCGTGTCGACAGCGGGGCAGATGCCACTGCCATAGGTCCGTCCACATGGAAGAAGTTAGGGTCTCCTCGCCTGCTTCCTCTAAGATCTAAGTGCTCTGCTGCTGACGGCCGTCCCATCGA